GGCCAAGCGACTAAGCGATTAAGCGACTAAGCGTCTAAGCGACTAAGCGACTAAGCGATTACTAAGCGACCAGAAGGTTCTAGCAACTAATGACTAATGATTACTAAGCAACTAATTACTAAGCAACTAAGCGACTAAGCGACTAAGCGTCTAAGTGACTAAGCAACTAAGCGATTACTAATTAACTGGAATGTTCCGGCAACTTCTACTAATAATAATAATACAATAATAAAATAACTAATACTAATAATAATATAATAATAATAATAATAATAAATAATAATAAATTGTTCTATAACACTGCTATGCTATTGATCCTAGAGGTCATTAAATGATTTATTTTTTTAGATATATAGATTATAAAATTTATATTAGTAATTATTTTTTGTTTAAGTTTTATATATATAGTATCTTCAATTGTTCTTATTGTAATTATAATTTTATATTATAATTTGTAGTTTTTAATTTGTCTTGAACAGATCTTTATATGTAATTTGATATTATGAAATGAATTGTTTATCTCTAATAAATATAAAGAAAAAACTATAATCTTGATATTTAAATTTTATTTTAATTACTAAATAAAATAATAAGTTGGTTGGTTTAGTTTGCAGTTTGTGTATTGTAAAGTTGAAGATTTTTTTTTAGTTTTAAAAATTATAATAATTTTATTATAATTTTATATATTTTTATTAAAAAATTATATGTATTTATTCTTGGATGTAATCTACTTTTATATTAATATGAGTTATATTGAATATAAAAATATTCTTTCTTATTATTTAACTATAAATAAGAATTTTGTATTTTTTTAAAATTCTATTTATGATTGTAGCAGATTCAATATTCATATAATTTTTATCTATATTTATTAGTTCTTTATTATTTGATACATTGTTTTGATTATCTTAAGAGTTTAAAACATCTTTAATAACTGAGTTTTCTACTAAAGATCTTGATTGAAATATGAAATCTGCAGATTCTGTTGATATATTATCAAAAACAATTTGTATAGATTTGTTGTTATTGTTGTTTATATATTATGATATCATGGTTAGTTTTGATAGGATAAGCTGAATTGCCTATTTTTTGTATTTTTTTGAGGTCTAAAAAGAAGAGTTCATCTTTTTTTGATTAATACATCAGAGTAGATGAAGATTTTATTGAAACTGACTCTGTTTCTAAGAGAACTGTTATTAAAGAAGTTTGTTGTTTGTTGTTCTATTTGTAACTGTAATGTTGTCTTAAAAGAGAAACTAAATAAGACCTTCAAGCCTGTGTTTGTTTTTTTACTTGTTGAAGTGTTGTCAGTTCTGCTTTGTTTTCTTTTAATTTTATCTAAGTTTTTGGTTTAACTATTTCTCAACTATGTGCTATAAGGCAAATATTAAGATCAAAAAATTAATTACGTATACTTCCATTTTTACTATTTTTATGAATTGATATATCATAATTATTAAATTTGTACACTTTTCAGTAGAAAGATTCAGGAGACTTGAAATAATACATAAGGGAGAGTCAGGTATTTTGGCACATCTAAGCTGTGCTTGCCAATTAAAATTTTATAAATTAAAATTTATTTCTAAAATTCATTTAACCAACTAATTTAATGCTTGACTATTTGATAAAGAAAAACAAAAAGAGTATTATTACTAAAAAAAATTGTTTATTGCAACTTTTATGAAAGTGATTTTTTAGTTGTTAGTTTATTAGGTAGGGGGATTGTAGTGCACTTACAAATAGTAAGATATTTATACTGCATAAGTTACATAGTTGATATTTTTTATACGAATATGTTAATATGGAACTTATTAACATCTGATATTAATGATCTGTTATATATTACTAACAGTAACATTAATTTTTTTTTTATGTAAACATTCCTCTTTTTTTTGCTCTAGTTCAATTTTTTTTGTGCTTTTTTAGCTTCCTGATTAGCTTGTTTCTGGGCTGCCACTTTTTTTTTTTGCTTTACATTTTCTAACTTCTTTTTTGCTGACTCGTTCATTTCTTTTAATTGTTGTAGACTTTCTTCATTAGTGAGAAGTCGAGCGAACAGGAAGTTTTTTCTTTTTTTTGGCTGAACAGACTCTGATTTGACTTGTATTGGAACTCTTGAAGAGGGATATTTAAGAGACATTTTTAATAAGCAAGTACCAGAATTTTTAAATGTCTTAAGTTTCTCTTGTGTTGATTGGTAAGATCGTTTTATGGTCTTATTTTCTTTTTTTAAAGAATTAATTTCTGCTAAAAGTTCATTTATACTAACAATGCTAACCCAAGCAGAATTATTTGAATGGAATAAAATATTAGAATGATTATTTAGTTGAGAGAATGATATAGTATTTGGTAAAGACAGCTCTTGTTCAACTTGTGCAGATAGTTCTTGTTCAACTTGTGTGGATGGTTCTTGTTCAACTTGTGTGGATGGTTCTTGTTCAAGTTGTGCAGATGGTTCTTGTTCAACTTGTGCGAATGAAGATAAATTATTAATTTTTTCAACTCGTGCAAATGAAGATGAATTTATGATTCGTTTAGTTGATAGAGAAGGACTAAAACAATCTGGATTTATAGCATTAGGGTTAAAAGGCCAAATTCCTGTAACTCTATAAGCATTGGTAATTGCTTTAGAAGTGTAAGTCTTGATAAATACTGGCCTAAGCATTTTCGCAAATGTATATTTAGTTACTAGCTTGCTAGTTTCACTGTGGAGTTTGTCACAACCTTTATCGTATTTGGCTTTAAGTTTAGCAAAGGGTAGCTCAGATGGCTAGAGAATGTGAGTAGTATGGAGTAGGAGTGTGTAAAGTAAAATTTTATTTTCATAACAGAAGTTAATGCTCATATAATTTACATGACTTTTATGTTCATCTAGTATTAAAAGAATGGACCAACTAGGTGGAATGGAATTGATAAAGTGTTCAATATACATTTGAAAAAGACTTTCATGCATATATCCTAAATCTGTAAATCCCATAACAGTGCCAACTGAAGCACCATTTAACAAATCTGGAATCGCACGAATGCCTTTATAAATAAGTAATGAAGGGATGTAACCACTGGCAGCTGAAATCATTGGAGCGACAGAGATGTGTTTGTGGAAATTGCTATGTGCTACCTTATGAACTTGACAGAAACCTTTGGTAGCAAGAACTTTTTGAACTTTAGGAGATATGACAAACTCAGTTTCATTTATATTCCAAATTCGTTTGGCAGTAAGAGAATTTTCTTGAATTATTTTTTGAAACTTATCAAAATGGTCTTTTACAATAATTGAATTTGCCTTTTGTGCATATGCTTCTGATAGGGCTTGAGACACATGAAATGATAGATCAGGATGGTCTTTCAAAAAGCATGACCACTAGGCCTTGCCAGGTCCACTGTTTTTAAAAGGATAACTTCGATTGTCAGCATTCACAATACTCATCACACAGTAGTTTAATCCTGTTCGTGTAAGTCCAAATCCCAATTTTTGTATATTTTTATAATATCCAACTAATTGTTGTTCTTCATGTTCACTTAAAACTGTTTGAGGACTAGGGTGGTTAGGCAAGCTGTTATTCTTCACATGTCGTAAACTTGTTTCAATAACTTTAAATTTTAATGCAATTGCTCATACACTAGGTTGGTTGGGACTATTAAGTGCCTTTAGAGCTAATTTAATAGATTTTGTATATGTAGTTCTGTTTTTTGAGGCTTGGGCTTAGATGAAATTTTAAAATTCATTTTATTTTTTTTTAAAAAAAAATTAATTATTTTTTAAAAAAAAATTAATTATTTTTTTTTTAATCAATGATTTATATAATTTTTATGCTGCATTCATGACCATAATTATGATTGATTCAAGGGATATCATTTTATTGTCTTAATTATGATCGTGATTGTTTTTTATATAGCAGCTTTTGTATGTAATCACGATTGTGATTAAAAAAAAATAATTTTTTTGATATCATGATTCTTTGCATATAATAATGATCATAATTGTTTTTTGACTTTTTGTATAAAATTATAATCATGATAGTTTTTTTGACAATTAAATTGTTAACAAATAAAATTAGACTATATACAATGACAATGATATTAGTTTCTTTAAACAATTAGTTATTTAACAAATAGAATTAGACTAAATTCTCAATTAAAGCCAAATCTTACTAAATTCGTATAGTATATAAACAAATAACAGGTAAAAATATTTCTCGCAAAGAAATTTCAAAAAAGTTGTTATATATTAAAAATGAAATACTCTTCTGATCCATATTATAAAGAAATTAACGATGCCGTCTTGATTCTTTGTAATAATTTAATCAACAGTACCTACAACCCTAGTGAATTTAAAGATCAGATGAAATTTGTACTTCCGTCTCTTTACAAACAGTTAATTAATATCATAAGATACTTCTTGAAATTAATCATCATGAACGAAAAGATTAAGCCGACTGATAATTATTACTTGTATAGTCACGAATTCGATCAAATTAAATCATTTGTCATTTTTTTTGATGATCTTATCTATAATTATGAACTTCTCACTAAGATGAAATATATTCTTAAAAAATACAAAAGATTCGAAAAAGCAGAAAATGATGATGACATTTTTGATAGAGAATATAGATATAGGTACACTCTCAAAGGGTTAAAGATGTGTAAATTTGCTGATCTATTTTGTAATAAAGAATATAATTCTAGTTTCCAAAAATTTTATCATGATTGTCACTCTTCACATAGTAAAGAGGAGTTAAATTTATATCATAATAATTTTCGCTTACTTGATGTAAATATATCGTCAAGAAATTAAATTATGTATTTTAATTAACAGGAGGAACCGTCAATGTTACACATTAATCCTTCACGCGGAGTAGCCAATCAATAATAAAATTATTTATTTTGAGTTTACTCTAAAATGCATGTTATGGATATAATCCCTCGCCCCGTTGTTCACACGGGGTGATCAGTAAAACTGAAATTATTTATATGTAACTTCAAGTGTAATGGATATAATCCCTCACTTGGTATAACATTAACGGATTCCTCAATTAATAAATTACTTAATTAGGCCAGATCATCAAGGGACATGCGGGAGTGCCGAATACACATTTGTTAATTTCTGGTGTTTTTTAATTTTTTTTTATTAACGTTGCTTATATCTAGCAGCCAATAATTCCAATTAAAGTGATTTTGACAACATTCGATTCGTCTTGATAAGGCAAATTGAATGATGCTAAAATCGTTCGTTTCCAATCATTGTATTACGAGATACTTTAAAAAAACTTTGGTGCGCCACATTACCTCCCGCGCCAGAATACCCGACTCTCCCTTATGACGTAAATGATCGAAATTAGAAATAATATATACGGTTTATAGCGGACCTCTTTAAAACGGATTCCTCATGATTCTTTAGAACAATTTAAATTTTTCATTCATTATTGCGAATATTCATTATAATGGACGGAATTTCTAATATTCTATAACGAGAATAAAGATGGGCAAAAGGTAATTTACTTATTACGTAAAGGTTAAATCACACTGTGCGACAATTTACTAATAATATATCGATATACTTATAACTACGCTAAATTGTTGCCAAGAGTGGTTTAACTTTTACGTAATAAGGAAATTACTTTGCCCATCTCTAAGCGAGAGTGTACTGTATTTGGCAACTTGCGTAATCATTACTACAATAACAATTCAAATAACAATTCAAATAACAATTAAAATAACAAATTCAAATAACAAGTTATTTGGCAAGCACTATCATTACTACAATGACAAGTTATTTGGAACTATCTTAATAAAATTGTCGGATAAAAAGTGACATACTTGTACTAGTCATTGTGACTATTTGGGTTAGGTGCTAGAAAAACGGCCAAAAATGTTTACATACGGTGAATCAATTTAAAATAAAATTGGGATTATTTTCATTTAAGATAGAAAGTAGTTGTATTAATAAAATTTAGCAGTACGTATACGTAGCTCTTTAAAAGTTTGCATTTTCTTATGATTTATTATAAGGGTTATAAAAATTGATTTTCCGAAGATCTTTTTTTTTTGTCATTTTCAGCCCTTTTTCCAGCACCTAGCCATTTTATAAGGACTGGTTTTCAACATCAATATCGGAGAATAAATAACAGAGACTGGTATAGATAAGTACGAAATTAGAAATTGCCTTTCTTGATACGTAGAACAAATTAATTAATTAATACTGAAATTAGCTTTTCTGAAATTAAACCTAAACTTTATAATATCGATATATATATATTTAATAATTATTTGTTTTCATAATATTATATAATTAATATAATTACAGAATTATATAACGATAACGATAAATAAACCATTTTTCAGTATTAAATAAAAGGTATTAAACTCCACATGACAACCAATTACAAGAAAGTAATCCAGCTGACTAAGCCTAGCAGGTTTAGCCATGCTGCCTTAGCTGGCTTAAAAATAATAATTCGGCGTAACGGTAACCTCTGTCCGTGGGGAGTTTTTTTTCTTAATGTCAAGACACAAATGTCGTTACACTGAAAGATGAAATAACAGATAATTACCACTACCATTTTATTTTTTCATAAATAGTTTATAGATTCGAAATTTTTGAATTTTTTGTCGATATAACCGATAATCTACAATGTTTCTCAAATTCAGAAAACCTAATTTGATAAAGTATATAACTTAATAGCTTACATTTTTATTAATTGTTTTATCATTAAGCGCTTTTGTATTATATGTTAGTGCTTTTTATTCGGCAAGAACATTCAAAGCTATTCGACCACATTATCAATTTTTATGTCGTGGAAATTCCACAGGTTATTAATTATCTATTACTACTATTTTCTAATTTACTTTTTTTTTTGTTTTTTTTATAATCTTTAATTTTTGCGCAATCATCGAACATATATAGTTTCCACGAGAGTTGCATGTGAGGATCATGAACCTATGTTCTTAGAATCCGTACAGATGTATTTTGATAAGGTAATAATAATTTTTCAATATCCTTAGAAAACTATACTTTATTGATTGATCAGATAACACGTACGTACCTAGGCTGCTAAAATAAGTGGCGTATCACCAAAAACCATATCGCATATGGAAGCACCAGATTGTATGCTTAAAGTTACATTTCCGATCGAGGTATTTAAGTTATTAAAAAAAAAAACCTATTACTTAAATAATTGATTATTATTGCTATAATTTGTATATTTTCAATATTTATATCATCAAAAGGTTGATGATAAAGTTGAAATTATTACAGGTTATAGAGTTCATCATTCCCGTCATTTGCTTCCAGTCAAAGGTGGAATAAGGTGAATTATTATTATTTTGATGAGTACCTAGCATAAAGATAATTATAAATGATAAATATTTATACTTTTCTCTAAATATAAAAGATTTTCACCGGAAGTTGAAGAACAGGAAGTTACAGCATTAGCAGCATTGATGACTTATAAATGTGCTATTGTTGATGTCCCGGTAATTCTAATAATAATTAAAACTATTCTAATAAACTAGTTACATTCTAATCTTAATTAATAAAATCATTATATTATTGGATTAAAGTTTGGAGGTGCCAAAGGTGGCATTTCTGTTGATCCAAGCAAATATACTATTGCGGAATTAGAGAGAATTACACGTAGATATACTGTCGAATTATGTCAAAAGGTATCATGTTAACTACCGTATTTTCACAAAATAACGTACATACGCGTTATTTCGCGAAAATGCGAAAATACGGTACAACTTCTTATTCATAAATTATTGTATTATTAAATAATCTATTTATAACAAGGCATTCATCGGTCCGGGTACAGACGTACCAGCTCCAGATGTAGGCACAGGTCCCCGTGAAATGTCTTGGATAATGGATACTTATCGACAATTTCATCCTAATGATGTGGACTCTATTGGTTGTGTTACTGGAAAACCAATACCACTTGGTGGTGTTCGCGGAAGGAATGAAGCTACTGGGTTGGGTGTATTTTATGGAATTCGTGAATTCATTTCATATCCAGAAGTACAAAAACATACTGGGTTAAGTGGAAATATTAAAGATTTAAGTATTATCATACAGGGATTCGGAAAAGTCGGATATTGGGCAGCTAAGTTTTTTGAAAAAAATGGGTGTGTTCTGAAGTTTAAACTTGTTATTAAAAATTTGTATATGCTATCATTTTTCCATTTCAATGTTCTATTAATCAAGTTATTTTTTAATGTGGTCTGTTTAGAGCCAAAATTATCGGTATTGGTGAGAAAGAATGTGGTGTTTATAATTCAAATGGTCTAAATGTCGATGAATTATTCAAATATCGACTCTCTAATGGATCGTTACATGGAGCACCCAATGTGGAGATTATTGAAGATCCATTACAAGTACTTACGAAAAACCTTTTTATTATTACTATGATTATTACTACTATCATGATTATGATTTTCTAATATTATACTCTAGATATTGGATTTAGAATGTGACGTTCTAATCCCAGCAGCATTAGAACGTCAGATTGGCCTTCGCAATGCAGATAAAATAAAAGCCAAAATTATTGGTGAAGCTGCCAACGGTCCTACAACTCCACTTGCAAATGAAATTCTATTAAAGAAGGGAATTCTGATTATACCAGATTTACTTTTGAATGCTGGAGGTGTTACCGTAAGTCATCCTAAAAAGGAAAAGTTGAAAAAAAATCTCTTACTTTATTTAATTTAATGTTGAGCCCTTTTGCTTTTTTAAGGTTTCATATTTTGAATGGTTAAAAAATCTTTCTCATATGAGATTCGGTCGAATGACAAGAAAATGGGATGAATTAGGTAAATCGCAATTAGTAGAATTAGTAGAACGGAATGTGGGACATAAGTTATCGGATACTGAGAAAGAACAGATTGTACATGGTGCAGATGAATCAGATTTAGTCTATTCAGGATTGGAAGATACTATGATTCGTGCCTGCATGGAAACTAGAAAAACATCTATTTCTAAGGTTTGTGTGGTTTATGTTATAGAACTTTCTGTTTGCAAAGTAAAATGACTTGGTTGGGTAAAAGTAGTATACATATTAAATGTTGAAGGAAATATTAATTAATTAGAATTTAGTTGCTGATTATTAACTCAAAAAACTTCATTATTTTTATTTTAGGAGGTCGATTATAGGACTGCAGCATTTGTAAATGCTATTGAAAAAATTGCTGCAGTTTATGAAGGGTCAGGGATGATGTTTATGAATTAGTGATATAACGTAAAGAATTTTATGTGAAAATTGTAATATACATATTTATGTAGTTTTGAAGACAATTTGTATATTTCTTTTCATTATTATTGAATTTCTCTACGATAAAATAGAATGTCGTACACAAACTAACTAGAATGTACGTACGTATCTAAATTAATTTGGTTGATTAAATTAAATATAACTATCATTTCTATTGATCACCTCTAATGATAGCTACATATCACAATAAGTGCAAATTAATTGAAAAAAATTATAGTTTAATAACCTTATCTCCTTATCTTTTATGGTTTAAGATATTATATCGATATTATACCAATTATAACAATTTTGCCTATTCTTAAGATATACTAATATAAGATTCTCAAGTATAATAGTTAAAGTTGGTGTCTAACACCAAGCGTATTTCTCATTCAAAATCCAATCTACATTGTCATCATTTACATACCATGCTAAAGATGGTAACTTTGTGGTCATTTCAACAATTTCGCCTTCTTTCGAAAGATCGAGTAATCTTAAATCAGGGTTCCATAAAATAACTTGCTTGAACTTAAATCTACTAGCTTCTTGCTTAGCTTTTTGGATTAATAATTGTGTTGTTTGTGGAGAATCACTACGAAATCTAAGAATTTCTAATTTATTGTACTGAAAATCGTGGTGCCAAATAACGAATCCTTTAGACAATTTTTGGTTATTAATATCTTGATCTTTTAAAATCTTGGCACCTAGAATCTTTGGATATTCGTTTAAATTTGAAAAGTGCTTGCTTCTTTCCATAAACCAATTGTAAGTGGGATTGATAGGTAATACCACCAAGCTTTTTTTATTCAATTTTGAAAATTCTTTTTTGATGAGTTCGTAATCTTGTTGGATTACACTTTCTAAATTAGATAGATCAATCGTAATTACCGTCTCAGAGTTTTCTGGAGGTGTGGTAAAATTATCGTCAACCTTAAACCTAACTTCCTTAAGTGTATAAGCTTTCCATCCAAATCTACCATAAAAATCTGTACCAATGTCAGAGTATAAAAATGAAAATGGAGCTTTGAACTCGAATCTCAATTTATCAGAAAGCAATTTCATCATTGTTGAGGCATAACCTTTACGTCGATATTGTGGAGGTGTGAATACTGACGCAATACTATAACAAGTTACTTCTTGAACTTGCCCAGGTGATAATGTGATTAAAGCTTTACGTTTAAAGGTTTCACATGCTGAAAGTATTGTTGATTCATTAATGTTGGAAGCATCATCCGCATCTTTGGTTGAAATTAGAATCCAAACTTTGAAATTTTCAGAATTATACACATCATTTGAGAGTACAGATTCACGTTTTAAATATTGATCTATAGTTAATTGTGGATAACCCCATTCTATGTATGAGTTACGATTTGTACTAAATAATTTGAGATATTTAGATGATTTAGCTTTGTAATTAATAAATAAATAATTTTACGATAATAATAATAATAAATACATTTGAGCTTGTTCAGGAGTTGCTTCTACAAGTATTAAATTTTGATTCTCAACTGTAGAATTCATTGAAGAGAAAGACACAGTACATGCGTACAAAATTAAAATTCGATAAAGGTAAAATATATGGACGTATTACAAATAAATCTTTACCAAATAGAGGTAATAGTAATAAACACACGACGTACGTACATAATTTATTACAAAAATATGACCGAACCATTCCGTGTCAAAGTAATCGTAATAATGAATTTGGGTTGTTGTATAGTAAAACCATGCTTAAAGTATATATATTTTATATGTTTTAAGCATGGTTTTGCTGTGCAATAACCCGTTTATCTTTTTTTAAAGGCAATAATTCAAATTAACCCGTAACCAGTGTATGAAATTTGGATTTAACTTTATGTTCTCACAAGACCACCTATATAATAAATTTGGAAATTTTTTATGTTCTCACATAAGTATAACCTAAAATTTTTGTGTTCTCAGAGAACATTGAGAACATTGAATTTCACACACTGCGTGCAACCATAACTTTCTATAGGTCTTTTTTTTCATTTGACAAAATTGTGATATTAATATCTAAATATAATAGCCCGTTAAAGTTACACCAGCAAGTCTTAAAAATTGCTTCTATAGATTTTGTTCTAAAAAGAGTTATCAAATTTATGATATAATATGTAGCCAGACAATAAATAAACTTCTCACACTTTGATAGTGACTTTAGCATTCCATAAAAAATGAGATATGCTAGAAGTATTTTATATTTGGTAAGGCCAATCTTACCAAGCAAAATAATGAAAAGACTTTATTTTTATCACAGGTTTGGTGGCATAGGGTGTTCTCAAGCCCCTTAGCTAATTTGTCGGAATGGGTCGGAGGGCAAATTTTAATTAATAAAAAAAAAATAGTTTAACGAATCGATTGTACTGATTGTTCCAATGAATAAATCACGTGATAAAAGTTTAATACGTCAAAGAGAAAATTTTCATTAGTGGAAGATCGTTTAACCGATCAAGGGTATTTATCATTCCAATCAACAAGAGATGGAGGCCCAGACGTCCTTTTTTTCACAGAGTTGCTCTTATTGGCTGAAATTTTACATTGATTTATTAGAAAAAAAACAATTGTTCAAGTATTTTCCTCTTTACATTATGGATCTTCAAGATCGTTATCAACATAAATGAATTATCGTCTTATTGCTTATGCTAAAAATAGCCACAAATCAAACAAGGCAGGAAAACAAAACAACAAGAATGGCTAATCTTTACCATCTTCTGTCCTTTACTTCTATGACAATAAATACAACTATTCTATTTGTCTTTTCTTTATTTGATGTAAGAGTTCAACATCAGCAAAGACCTAAAACTGATGGCTTTTGGGTTGATGTGTTTTCATATTTAAATGATGAAAGAGGATATAATTCCTTTCAAAAGCATTTTCATATTACTTTAGTAACATTTAATTCTCTTGTATTACTGTATTTCGCAGACTAAACCACCTCTTCTTGTACAATAATTACCAAATAATATAGATATTTTGATGGTGCATTCAGATGCATAATATATTTATTACAGTATTCTACATATTGTGTAACCTTATCTATGATTACATAATAAAAAAAATCTATCGATCTATATCTATTAAATTTCACAACAACTAAATGAGTGTCTAATTAAATCTGGTTCAAGTGAATCTCATGCAGTTTCTACCTACTGAACAAGAAGTGAATATGAAGGTTGTCTTATACATCCTGAAGAAATTAATTTATGAATTGTTTCTACTAATCAATGATTATAATGTTCATGAACCTTTGCTTTAAAACTCTTATTAATACTAACATCTAATGGTTATAATTTAGATGTTAATCCATCAGGAATTACTGCTATATTTGTATTATTAAGAAGAAAGTATTGTTTTACTGAATTCATTAGATGTGTACAGAAGAAATCAAGAATTAAAAGTGAATTAAGATTGTTAAGTGATCTTCTAGTCCATATGATCCACTACAGCATTTCTAATTCATTTACCCAACCTTTTTCATTTACATAAATGAACATATTTGCTGGAAAGCTTTCTTAACATATAGTTTTTTTTTAAAAAATGCAAACTACTGATAGTTTCATACCATCAGCCATATATTTAAGAACGACAGTAAAATTTTTTTTCATTACCTGAGGTACAAATACTAATAGTATATGCACTATGCTTATTAATTATTGAGGAATTTGGTAAATTGAATATAAGAGGCATCTTGTTTATATTACCAATAAGAAATAAGGGATAATTATATTGAATTTATAAATTTAAGACATAATTAAGAAAATTTAATCTTTTTTGTTCTAAATCTTTAGGTAATTGCTGTGAAACAATAGTTTAGTGATGGATTGATAGATTATAACATTCTAAGAAACCATTGAGCCAATTGTTAGAAAATTTGAATGATTTAATATCTGAAAGATTTTGAAAATCCATATTTTGAGTAAGTGAGATTACCTTTGCAGTTACTAATTCTTGGGTAACAGGATTTTGTAATTGGTATTATTCTGTAATTCAGTTAGATAAAGTTTCTTCTATTTGTAAATAGTAAGGTGAGTATCCATAATGTAATTTATAAACCTTAGGTAATGTTTTGATTAACTTTTCTTTATTATTTATCCAATCACATAATTGATTTGGTTGGATATTAAATTTTTTAGACACTCCTTTAATACCTTGGGTTTCATTTTGTTTAAGATAAGTAATAATATTTAATTTTTCTTTGGTGTTCTATTTTCTTTTTAATTTTCATAATATATGGGCTTTAGAAATATTTTTATTACTTGAAATTGATATTTTTTTTTTATTAAAAAAAATTGGGCTGTCGATATTATTTATCATTTATATATTATACAAAAAAAAAAAAAATTTTCTAATTCTTATGATTCTTACAATTGCAAAGAAGATTTATTGTCTTTATAAATGCATACTATTATATTATAAAAAATAAAAAAAAACTTATTATGCAAAGACAAAAATTTGATAATTGTACTGTCTAATGTTTGTTAGCTGTCATTAGCTCAATAATTGTAAAACAAAAAAAAAAAATTTTAAATAAAAATTCTATGTTTAACATTTGTTTAAAATTTCAATATCTAATATTTGTTAATTTGAAAGCCAATCATTTTCTTAATAATTGTGATTGTTTCATAATGATGCACAAGCTATTAATTTGATATGCACCATGATAATATCTGCACAATCTGACAGAGGAAGGTGGTTTAGCCTGTGAAATATAATACATTTGGAAATTTATCCAGCTTTTTCATCTAATGCTTCTAATGCAACATCTGTTTGAAAACAGATTACTATTGTATTATGGTAATTAACCAATAATGCAGAAGTGCAAGTATTAGAACAAACACTTGATACAAGTCAGGGATCAGTATGTCATTTTAAAGACAGATTTCTTGAAACATTATTAAATTTGGAAAAAGATTATATAAAATGGTTACAAGGTACACAATTAGTAACAATAATACATAGAT